TAATTAATACCTCACTAATCGTAAACTCCATGTGAGCTCTATCTCCAGATTCTTGCTTAAAAAAGGAAAAGTAGGGTGGATGTTCAAAATCTGTTTATTGAATTGAAACACTTTAAAGAGATTCAGTCCATGCTTAGTGTTGTTTTGTTTATCCTCACCCGAGGATATTTTTCCTTTGATTTTTACATAGAGTAGAAGGGAGAGAAAGAGGAAGGGAGAGAGAGAGAAACACCAGTGGGAGAGACACATTGATTGGTTGCCTCCCGCACAACCTGGACTGGGCTGGGGATCAAACCTGCAACCCAGGCCCTTGTCCTTGACCGGGAATTGAACCCGTGGCTGATGCTCTAACCACTGAGCAACCAGTCAGGATCATGCTTAGTTTTTAACAGTGGTTAAAACTCAATGGCTTCAGCCCTGGTGGGGGGCCCCAGTTGGTTAGAGCTTTGTCCCCATATGCCAAAGTTTCGGGTACAATCCCCAGTGAGGGCATATGTAAGAATCAGTCAATGAGCGTGTAAATAATCGGAACAATAAATCAATGTTTCTCCCTCCCTCTCTCAAATCAATAAATAAAAATGAAAAAAATAAATAAAACCAGAACTCGGTAGCTTCAAGTTTATATAGATTTCAGAATCCAATGTAATTTCAATAATAATAACAGAACAAATGGGATTGAGTGAGGATATTTAAAACACAGCAGCTGTTAATTATCACCATCTTTTTATTTAAAAAAGACATTTTAGCATTATATATACATGTTTGGAGTAAAGATTTAGTCCTTCCTGCCCTGGTCAGTGTGGCTCAGGTTGGAGCATCGCTGGGTACACCAGAACGTGGCAGTTCAATTCCTGGTCAGGGCACATACCCAGATTGTGGGTTCAGTCCTCAGTTGGGGTGCGTGCAGGAGGCAACCGATTGATGTTTCTCTCTCACATCATTGCTTCTCTTTCTCTCTCTCTCCCTTCCTCTCTCTAAAAAACAAAACAGCCCTGGCCAGTTTGGCTCAGCGGTTAGAGCGTCTGCCTGCGGTCCGGAGAGACCCAGGTTCGGTTCCCGCTAAGGCATGTACTTCGGTTGCAGTTTGTCCCCGGCCCTGGTTGGTCGTGCGGGTGGCAGCCACTCGATGTGTCTCTTCACGTCGATGTTTCTCTCTCTCTCTCTCCCTTCCTCTCTCTCCCTCCCACTCTATCTGTACAAAAAAATGGAAAAATATCCTCGGGTGAGGATTAAAAAAATAAAATAAAATAAAAAATAAAAACCAAAACAAAAAACAAAAAAAAGTACACTTAAAAAAATAATAAAATAAAAAAAGATTGCCCAGCCGTTGTGGCTCAGTGGTTGAGCATCGACCCATGCACCAAGAGGTCGCTGGTTCAATTCCCAGTCAGGGCACATGCCCAGGTTGTGGGCCAGGTCCCCAGTGGGGGGCGTGCAGGAGGTGGCCAGTCGATGTTTTCTCTCAACGATGTTTCTCTCTCTCTCTAAAAATCAATAAAGGAAAAAAAATTGTTTTAATTAAAAAAAAAAAAGATTTAGTTCTTCCTGAGAAGGAAGGGTTAGCAGACCTACTTCAATCTATTCAGAAATAAAATAGATATATTACAATGTTTGGATACAAAAGTACTACAAGAGAAACATTTTCAAGTATTATTTTGTATCTAATTGTTTCTTGGTTTCTCAGTTTGGGGATCTGTATTCCACAGAGGCGTGCAAAGTGGAGCTTAAATGTCCAACTCATTTCAAAATGTTATTTTTCTGTTTCATGAAGGAATGTTGACAAATATAGAACACTCAGCAGTTTTGCTGTATGAGGAAACTTTTGGGCAAACTGAGAGGAGCCAAGGAACAATAGCAGTCAAGCCTCCAATGGTCCCTTCCTTCTGCAACCAAACCAGCCGAGGACCGGGGGCTGGCAGCCAGTGTGGAGCCCCTGGGTTGACCTGGGAAGGGTGGCATCTGCCACTGCTCCAGCAGAGCAGGGACACAGGCTCGCAGATCGAAATTCCCAGCACCGAGGACAGAGGTGGCAGGCTGCCTGGTGGGGCTCTGGAGTCCTGGGTCTTGCTCGGGAAGCCCTCAGGGGAGGCAGGATGCTGGGTTCTACTAAGTGGTAAGAGGGCAGCATGAGGCAGAGTAGCTCTTGCCTCCCTTGGACTGAACCAGGAGAACTAGACTCAGAGCCAAGCTCCGTTATTCGCAGGTGAGAGCCCTCAGGTGGTGGCTCAGTCACCGCCACCTGCTCCAGGCTCACCGTGCCCATGATGGAGGACGCTGCTCTTGGACGTCTGTGCCCCTGGGAACAAAGGCTCCCTAGGAATGAAAGCGGAGTGTATGGTCAGAAAGAGAGGACCCGTGTCCCAAGCCCTGTGGGGGTTCAGAGGAGGCATAACAAAGCCAGCCCGTTTTTCCCTGCAGCCTTTTGAGTCTCCGGATGGCCCGGCCAGGTGGCTCCGTTGGTTGGAGCATCATCCGGTACACCGAACGGTGGTGGGTCTGATTCCCAGTTCGGGCACAGACCTAGGTTGCTGTGCACGAGAGGAAACTGATTGATCTTTCTCTCTCTCCCTTCCTCTCCCTCTAAAAATCAATAAACATATCCTTGGGGAAGGATTTTTTAAAAAGGTCCCAGGATTCAGGTAAGATGGCATTGCAGCAAAGGATTTCAGGAGGTGATGAGGGCAAGTAGCTATAACTCAGGTGACAGTCCGCGGGATCCACCACATGGCCCACCCACCTCACGCCTGAGCAGCTGTCTGATAGAGTAAAAGTAAATTTTCTCGTGGGCAGTGACACTGGCCACAGGTGGGGCTCCTGGGGGCGGGAGGCTGAACTCTGGTCTCATCTGGACCAGTTTCCAGCTCGCAGGCTGCACAGACTCCTGGTTACTCCCTGTGGCACCGGGGGAGGGGCTGGGCCCTCTGAAAGCACACTTGACCCTGACACACAGCACCCGCTGTCGCCCAGCACGAGGGCACAGCCAGGCCTCCCGCTGCAACAGCCCTCACCTCCTGTCTCGTCCTGGGCTCGCCCGCCCCCTGGACGATGCTTCTGGAGGGCAGATGGGGCTAGGAGTCCAGTCTGGAGAGGCGGGGAATGCCTCTTAGGCACAGGTCCAGGGAGATGGAGGCCTGTCGCCTGGGAGGCTCCGGCTGTCTTCCTTCTGGTTCAGGATGAGCCACCTGTTCCCCTTTGCCCAGCAACCTCTGTGAAGCCAGATGAGACCCCCACCGAGAGGACTTGATGTTTGGAGAAAGCACACCCCCAGGACTGGGTCCCCCGACTCTGCAGGGAGGGCTTCTCTGGCCTAGCAAGCCCTCCACTCCTGCTCTCGGCATTTGTCTTCATGACAGCTCGGAGGGGTCTCCTCTCCGGACCTGCCCACTAGATTCTTCTTACACAGGGAGAAAAGACAAGCCGGCCCTTTCCAAGCCAGCTGGTCCACTGCTGTCACCTCCACCCGGTGGGGAAAGCAAGCGCCCCCCTACCCATCCCCTTCTAACGCAGCACCCCGGGCTGCCCCCTCAATGCCATTCCATGCACTGTCCTGCTGGGGGCGCACCGGGTGGGCCAGGGTGCCGAGTATTGTCCAGATCCAATGCGTCCTGTGTCTCCCTGGAGTAGCTGCACCAGACTCCCACACACCTGCTTTCAAAGTAGCCTTGTCGTCTGTTTTACTCCCACGTTCACCTGTCTGCCCCACTAGCCCGAGGGTAGGAGCTTTGCATTAGTCATGTTTGTGGGCCCAACCCCCAGGACACTGTCTGGCTCAAGGGTCAATCAAAGGTCAATGATAATACAGCTTCATAATCACACCTGACTCCCGGCAGGTTGCACGCGGATCCTCGAGCCTCCTTCCCCTTCACAATGCAGCAGGCTCAGAACACCTTGGGTCTGTCCGATGTCACGGGTAAATGTTGGCTCCAGAAAGAGACTTCAGACCATCTGTTCACCATTCACCAGTACCCAGGCCAGTGCCTCCCAGTACGTGTTCAGTAAACGTTTGATGAATGAATAAATGGTGCTGGGCTCTGAATCCAGGTCTCCTGGTTCTCAGACCAGGGGGTGCAGAGAGCCACCCACTCCTCTGCCTCATGCTTCCCTTACCACTTAGCAACACCTGACACCTGCCTCCCCACAGCTCCCCGGGCAAGACCCAGAACCTGTCAGTCACACCCAACGAATGAGCACATACCAGCCCCTCTGACCCCAATACACCTGTCTTCTGTGCTGAAGGGTGTCGTGTGTTTAAGCGTGTGCCTTCAACATAGGTGTCCGTGTCCCTGCCCTGCTGAAGCAATGGCAGATGTCACCCTTCCCAGTGAGCCTGTCTGCTCCTTACAGGCCCCCAGCCTGTGGTCCCTTCTCAAGTCCCTTCCTGCCTCAAGATTCCGTGTACGGGACCCAGGGTGCTGCTCATGCCCCAGACCTGCGCCCCCAGGGCCCCTGTGCCCCATGGCACCCATAGCATCTCGCCCTGCTGGTGCACAGCTGGGCGCTTGATCTGGCTGTTCCTGCGAGTCTGTTTGGCTTCCTTCCTCGATAAACTCAAGGCCAGGGTCAAATTTGCTAAGCAAACAACAGAGACAAAGGCAGGCTTCTGGGCTTGCATCACCGATTCTCCTGAACCCTGCGGGCGGCAATCGTTCATCCTTGTCAACAAGTTCACCAGCAGGGGTGACTCACCGCTGGGGGTGACTTCAGTGCTGGGAATGGAAAACAGTGGTGCCATCAAAAATGCTATAGATTATTTCCAGAAAGTTTTCATATTTGCTTGCTCGGGGGCACTCGCAGACACGTGGCCTCGGACCCGTGAGGCAGAAGAGGGCAGTAGAATCAGGACTAACGCTGGGAGAGGCCATCAGACCCTGGACTGGGGACAGGCCTGGCGGCCTCTGGCTCGGCTGAAGCCCCTCCCCCGTCGCGAGGCGGGCCTGCCCACTCCTCCCGAGCCCCTGAGCCCCTGCCTCCCGGCGGCACCGCAGTCCTCCCGGATGAGACCGGTACTTTATTCACACCCGAGGGATAAGCCAGTACAAAACACATTTAGAGAAGTTACTGGGGTGCTAGCCACCCCTCCACCCCAGTCCCACATCTGTGGTCTCTGGGCAGCCCCGGCGCACTCAGCTCTTCTGGGCCTCCTGCAGGAGGGTGAGCAGGGGGTCGTCCGCTCTGAGGGCAAAGGTGAGGGTGCGCTGCTGGTAGTGCGCAGGGTCCTGCTCCAGGTTCTCTATCACGTCCGCCAGCAGGTGGGCTCGCTCCACCGCAGAGCCGGGGGCCTCGAAGCCCAGGGCGGTGAAGTGCACGTGCAGGTGGTAGTAGGAGGGCAGGTAGTGCAGGTACACGCGGAGCCGGTCCCCCCTCACCTGGTATCGCTGCAGGATGGCTTCCTGGGGAGAAGGGAGCAGGGGGAAAGGGTCACCGTGCTGCCCGAACCAGTGCCAGACCCTGCCGTCCTAACCCCAGACTACCTGTGGACAGCCAAGGGACCCTCCCCACAGCCTCTGCCACCGTGTGCTTTGGACCCCCTCTTCCTCCCGGGGGTCAGCGAACGCAGGGGACAGCAGCCGAGCTGGGGCTCTTTCTCCAAAGGAAGGGGACAGTGGCCTGGATCAAACGTCTGCTTCCTCAAACAGTTGCTGCTGGAACCTAGAACGTCCCAGTGCCTACGGGCAGGCCCACAACCCAGACCGAGGGTGGTCTGTGAACACTCAGCACCAAGTGGGCGGGGGAAGCTTGCTCTCCCTTCGGCCTGCACCGCCGTGGAGCTGAGCTGGGAACCTCACGGGGCTGGACTCCCGGTGGGAGGGGACAGCCTGAGTTTGGCCCCTGCTCCCTTGACCTCACCTTGCTCAGGGGTAGAGCTTTTTCTTTTATAAAATTATTTTATTTCCATAACAGGTCTTTTGTGTTTTTTTAAACCCTCACCCAAGGACATGTTCATGGAATTTTAGAGAGAGGGAGAGAGAGAAAGAGAGAGAGACACACACACATCGATGTGTGAGAGAAACATTGATTGGCTGCCTGCTGCACACGCCCTGACCAGGGCTGGGGGTCAAACCCACAAGTTAGGTATGTGCCCTGACCGGGAATCAAATCTGTGACCTTTCAGTGTATGGGATGGTGCTCCAACCAATTAAGCCACACTGGCCAGGGGAGGAGCAAGGCTTTTAATTTTGTTTTTTTTAATCCTCACCCAAGGACATTTTTCTATTTATCTTCAGATAGAGTGGGAGGGAGGGAGACAGAGAAACATTTATAAACATCTAGGCGAGAGGGACACATCGATGGGTTGCCTCCCACACGACCCTGATCAGGGCTGGGGACAAATTGCAACCGAGGTGCGTGCCCTTGACTGGAATCGAACCCGCAACTCTTTGGTCTGCGGGCCAATGCTCTAACCGCTAGCGCAGGAGTAGGGCTTTTTTTAATCAACCCCCTTTTCTGGAGTCTCCAAGGCCTGGAGTTAAGAGGAGACCCTGGTTTCCATTGTGGGCAAATCCCTAAGGAGGTCAGAGAAGAGAAAAAACTAGGGCCTCAGTGGGCTCAGAACGCACCCAGAACTGCATTCTGTACTTGGAGCTCCCCCCGGATCTCCGCAGCGGGGTGAGACCAGGGCCGGCCCACCCAGGGCCTTCCTGGGACGAGCAGGGCATTGAGGGCGCTGTCTGGCTCCTCGCAGGGAGATGCCCCTCTCTGCCCCCACAGGCTGTTTTAGGAGGAAGAGACAAGTCTCTGCGAGCACAGACGGGCAGCCGGCTGGGAGGGCAGGAGGGCAGGAGGGCAGGCCACGAGGGCACTGGCAGGGAGCGGGGTCGAGGTTAGCGGAGAGCAGACCCAGGCGGAGCCTTTCCTCCGCGTGCACCCAGCCTCGGAGCAGCTCCTGTCGACAGAGCACCCGTGACGGCCAGGCCGCGGCACGGGGTGTGTGGGGCACCTCCAAATGTTTCAGAGTGGAAAAGTGCTGAGAACCGCCTCACAGAATGGAGGGTTCAGAAGAATCCTAACTGGTTATCAAGGCCAGGATGGTGAGGCCGAGGTCAGCCAGCAGGCTTGGGTCAAAATGTCAGAACCAGGGCCACATCCCTGGATTCTAGTCTCTCTTCCCCACCTTCCCTCCTCAAGGCTCCTTTATCTTTTCTTATTTTTTTATTTTTTTTATCCTCACCCGAGGACATTTTTGCATTTATCTTCAGACAGAATGGGAGGGAGAGAAACATCGATGTGAGAGAGACACATCGAGTGGCTGCCACCCACACGACCCCACCCAGGGCCGGGGACAAACTGCAACCAAGGTACATGCCCTTAGCGGGAACCGAACCCGGGACTCTGGTCCGTGGGCCAATGCTCTACCCACTGAGCCAACCAGCCAGGGCCAGGGCTCCTTTTAGCACCCCTGAAATGTATTTGGTTCAATGAACACCCCAGAGCTCGTGTCCCTGATTCCGGGAGCCAGAGAGCGCAGTCTCCACCCTCAGGCCAGCTGAGGAGGTAGCCGCAGTCACGCACCGGGGCCGGCGGCCCAGCGGCCCAGAAGCACGGCTGGCGTGATGTGGCCGTCGCAGGCGAGGCGGGCTATCCCGGAGGGGCGGGTGTCCCAGGTAGGACCTGCCAGAGAAGGGCAGGGGCCAAAGTGGGGACCCAAGACGAGGAGGACAAGTGTGGGGTGAGGAAAGGTGGCTGAACATGGAACTGGAAGGTGGGGCAGGACCAGGTGGCAAGGCCTTGGGAGCCCATCAGTAGAGCCTGTGTGTAGCCCCACACTGACGCCCAGAAAGAAGCCCCAATGCAGACATCCTTCTGGGCAGGGTGAGCAAAGTGGTACCGGAAACACCTGAAATCGGGGTGCAATTACTCTGGCTGCCATGTGGTTCGGCCGGGACGACTCACCTGCCCCTCCCGGAGGATGTTCCTGAGCAGCGGCAGGTGCTCTGCAGTGAGGTCCCGGAGCGACCTGACGCCCCGGCGATGGCAGATGGCAATCAGGTACAGGTCATCCAGCTGCAGAGACCAGGTACAGGAGGCTCAGCAGTGACAGAGCCAGGGGAGGGCACCAATCCTGGAATTCCCCAGGGAAGCCACAGAGCGCCCCCCCCAGGCCTCCAGTGCCAGCCACAGCCAGCCCGGGGACCCCACAGCAGGACCGAAGCCCAGCGATGTGGCAGTCCACATGCAAGGCGAGTGGCGGTCTACGGAATGGACTCCTGTTCGCTCCTCCTGCTGAAGAACATCCGGTGGGAGTATCCATATGCTCCAGGAGCTGATGGGGTGCAGGAAAGTGCAGGGACAACTCCTTTCCTCCGAGCTTATGGTCCACTCGCGTGTACACAGCGACACTGAGACATGAAGTGACGGGCACAGGGAGCACGGGGGGGAGGAAAGACTGTCTAGTGAGGGCCATCGAGAGGCTTCCAGAAAGCAGGCAGGGGACCTGGGCCTTGAAGAGCTGGGTTAGGCTTCAGAGGAAGGGCACGCAGGGAGGGGCAGTAAGAGCGGAGGCTCGGAGGCAGGACAGCGCAGGCCAAGGGGAGTCAACACCGGCTGTGCGGAGTGAAGGCACGTGGGCAGGTGGAAAGGGACCTGGGGCCAGCTCAGCAGTGACCGTTACCAGAGCCTTGTCAACCCTTCGCTCTCTTCCCGTCTCCCAGGGCTCACCTGGAGGTCACACCAGTACCAAGAACCAAAGCCAACAAGATCTTGCTCAGTGCAGCAAATGAACTCTTCCCGTGGCCCAGAATAGGTCCCCACGGCCCCGCACCCAAACCCTGGCCTTGGCGGGTCACCACATCCCTGGGCGAGGCCGGCCCCAGACGCCAGGCTCCGGGAGAGGCTGGGGACACTCCAGCAGCACTCAGCCCTGCAGTCTGAGCTGCCCGATCATCTGGGGACCCAACCGAATCCTGAAGGGCCCCAATTTAAGGTTAGAATGAGATCTTCCATATGGTACCTGGTTTCCAACTGTGCCTCTTCCTGTCATAGACTCTCCTCTGCCTGAGTCCCGGGCTCTCTGGGGCTCTCTGCCCCACACCTGCGGCAGAGGGCCCAGGGGAACCTCCGGCAGAGGACAAGGTTGTGCCGGCCGAGGCCTGTGTGCCCAGTCCCTTCTGTGCTCTCCCTTTTCGTGACATGTGTCCAGGACATTCACTCCCTCACTAGATAGAGGCCCAAGAAGAAGCCAGGAAACAGAACTGTTTAAACTTGGGGTGTGTGTGTCTGTGGGTGTCTTCGGCTGTTCCATGTGTCACTATCACAGGACTCCGAATAATGGCAGCGTTTGTTTTCCATGAGGTCTGCTGACAAATCCAAACACAGCATTCAGTCACACTCTCCGCTCCACTGAGCAGAATGAGGAACGAGGCCTGGCGCCCACAGCCGGGTGCGGAGGGAAGAGAAAACCGTTCTTTGATGTGAGACACTACCCCAGGTTTTCTGCAGGCAGCCACGGGCCTCTGGCCCAGAGAAATGATCTGAAAAAGCTAGAGAAGGGGCAGGTGAGGGTCTCAGATTGGCACCCCATGAGGTGGCCCATCAATCACTCTGGGAGAAGATTTCATCAACCTGTTTTTCTTTTTTTTTTGGTTAATCCTCACCCAAGGATATTTTTCCATTGATTTTTTTTTTTTTTTTTAGATAGAATGGAAGGGAGGGATGGGGAAGAGAGAGAGAGAGAGAAAGAAACATCAATGTGAGAGAGAGACATCGACTGGTTACCTCCCCACACCACCCCAACTGGGGCCGGGGATCGAACCCGCAATCCTTCGGTCAGAAGGCCGACGTGCTAACCACTAAGAAAACTGGCCAGGGCAATCACCCTCTTTTTACAGGGCAGAACAGTGAACTCGAAGTGACAGCTCCCTAGCTCGGGCTAAGGGTAAGAGGAGACTGGCGAAGCTGTGGAGAACCACCCTCCGTCTCTGGAGCCTCTCAGAGGAGAGTTTCCGGTCGGAGAACCTTAGATCAAAGAACCGAAGTCATATGAACTGAAAGTGTGAGTGTGTCTATAAACACGAACACACGTGCTTAATGTGCATGCTGCAAAGACGATCTCTGGAAGGACAAAGAAACGATCTCCTGGGGAAGGGCAGTGGGGGAACTGGGTGAGGGAACACACTTGCACTGCACACCCTTTGTGCTCTGCATCTGTACCATGAGCGTGTGCAAGCCAGACCTATGGGAAACGAGCAAAACAGGCAGGTGATCTCTTCGGAGAACGGAGCGAGGGATTTAGGACTCCAGGAAGGCAGAGGAGCTGGCAAACGTTGGGACCGCGTAGACATCTGTGGAATGATGGATGGGTATCGGAATACGGACAAAGGATCTCTCCAGTGCGGAGCCATCGGCTGCGGGGCTGCATATGGACAAAGTGCCTAGAGATGTTTCCAGGAACAGCAGCAGGAGGGGACTCCAGGGGGCCGGAGGCCTCCTCAAAGAAAATGCCTGTGCACCTCCCTCCTTCACCCTCCCTGATGGGAGAGCAGATGTCCAGCCTGGCCTGTCCCTGTGGGATCCACTGCCTAGCAGTCAGGGAACTGTCGATTTTAGTGTTCTGTCACAGGTCAAGGGTTTGGGACAATGACATATGGTACTACCAAGAGACAAGAGCTAATAAAGCAAAGTTTAAGAACACTGGCACTGCCCAGGCCGGTGTGACTCAGACCAAGGACTGGAGGGTCACGGGTTTGATTCCTGGTCGAGGGCACATCCCTGGGTTGCAGGTTCAATCCCCGGCCCCGTTGGGGTCGTGCAGGAGGCAGCCAGTTGATGTCTGTCTGTCACTCTCTCTCCCCCTCCCTTCCTCCCTTCTACTTTATATAAAATAAAATTTAAAAATCAATGGAAAAATATCCTCAGGTGAGGATTAACAAAAACAGACATAAAAACAATGAATGGCACCTATATTGCCATCAAGGAAGCCTGACATTTAAAAAAATGTTGTTATTGAATTGAGAGAGAAGGAGAGGGGATGAAGGAGGGAGGAAAAGGTCAGAACGACGCTGACTTCCGTTCTCAGTGCTGTGCGCTTCCAGAAGGAAGCACAGGTCTGTCTTCTGGCCCCACATGGCCCTCAGACCACCACCCTCCGCAGTCCCAAGCTCTCGTCTTCACGGTCTCGTGAGCCAGAGGTCCCTCCTGCCCCGCCCCCACCTCCAGTGACCCAGCCTGCAACCCAGGACCTCCAGGCGCAGGGCTGCTGAGGGGCAGACAGGGCTTGTGCAAAGGCATCGCCCAGAGCTGCCGCTAGCATCCCTAGAGCCTTGTCCCAGCTCCCTCCTGTCCGCCAGTCCTGGCATCCTCCATGGGCCTGAGGTGGGGCTGAGCTGCGGGGAGGGGGAGTGGGCGCAGGAGTTCTCTCAGCCTCTCTCCATCCACTACAACACCCCGCACTTTGATCTTACCTGGTTCTACAAACCATCATGCAGCGCTCAACTCCTGAAACTCCCTTCATCCCTACCACCCCTCGAGCCACGGTCAGGAACTACCAGAAGCCTCCCGTAAGAGACAGCTGGCACCCACTGGCCTGTGTGCCTGAGCTGAGGTGCTGGCCCTCTGCCCCAGCCACAGGCTCCCAGCCCCCAGTTTGGGGCAGTGGTAGGCAGGTCTAGAAACCAAATCTAAACCAAGCAAACTGCAGGGGAGTTCAGTTATGGCCCAAAGGCCTCAGGGGCAGGCCAGAGCCAAGAGGGAAGAAGGCAGGCGTCCGGGAGGTGGCGAGGGCCCAGCCTCCAGAATGACGTCTGCATGTCTCATGACTGCATGTCTCATGAAGGGCCCACCCAAAAGCAGAACGGAAACCCAAGTCCAGTTAGAGGAGGGGCCTTTCTCTATCTATTCCCACTTCCCACTCAGCAAGTCCACATCTGGCTTCCGTGGCCTCCCCGCCCTGGCCCGGCCCTGCCCTGCGCAGGCCGAGCCGGCCGACTCCGTGTGCGGCGGCAGCCACACTTCCCGGGAGACGCTGCCTGTTTGGGCTGTCCGGGTGGGTGACACACACGGGCGACGGTGCGCTGTGACTCGGGGTGGGCAGGTGCAGGGGAGTGAGGATGGCAGGACAGTGGTGACAGAGACCACAGAGGCCTGGAGAGGGACGGGGGAGAAGGTGGCTCCGCTGGAAACCTGCTCCTCAGTAGGGAGACCAGGAACAAAGCCGACAGGCTCGGGTGCAGGCGTGGGGGCACCTCAGGTTGTTCACCGTGACTGCTGCCTGTCACTGCGTCCGACCATGAGCTGGCCTGGATCTGCTGGTGTCCAGGGGGCGAGGAGGAGCAAACGGTTCACCACAAGCTTTAGAAAGTGAGAGTGGCCACCCAAGCCACTTGGCTAGTTAAGGAGCAGCTCATGTGGTTATGTAAACATTGCCTCATCCCTGCCCCACATACAGCGGTGGGGTGGGGCGGGGCGGGGCCTGGAGGAGACAGAAGGAAGCATAAACACGTGTGCATCAGCCTGCAGAGCCCAGACCTCTCCTGTTGGTTAATTACAAGCTGCTCAGAGGTGGGAAGAAGGTGGCCTCAGGTAGGAGGGAGGGGGTCAGCGACCTGGAGCAGGGTCCTCTGAGAGCAGAGAAGCCCAGCGGGAAAGCCCTACCTGCTGCTGGTTCCACTTGAGGTCGGGGATGAGGACAAAGCCGTCAGAGGGATCTGGGTTCTCAAAGACAATCCGGTCGGCTTCAGCCTTCTTGTCGAGAATGTTGTACACCCACTGGAAGAACAGGGAGAGAGAGGGGTTCCTATCCAGTCACCACCCCTTGGACAGACCCCCCAGACTGGGCTAGGGAAGCTCTCTGGCCCCTCCAGGAAGGACGGCCACACTCAGGCTGCCCTGTCCCCCAGGATCTGCTCTCAGGGCCCAGAAGAGCTCTCCCCTGCGGCACCACTGCGGACACTCGGTCCCCACCCACCCAAGGCCCTGCATGCAGATGGTGCTGGCTCCTCCGGCTCTTCCTGGCCAGCGGTGCGCACGCGCTCTGCTGTGCTCACGGAACTAGGGAGAGCCGTCCAGGGCCCGTCCCGCATCATTCAGGACCAAGCAAATGATCAGGTTGGGAGTTCCCTTTGCACAGGAAGCTGGCTCCATGCCCAGGCAGGTTCTAGAAACTAAGGTGTGTGGGTTTCCTGCCCCGCTGGGCTCTGAGTGGGGGATGAGCACCTCCGCCCACCTGGAGCCACGGCTGACATGGTCCCTGCGTAACAAGCAGACCTGAAGGCCACCTTTCTCGTCAGCCCAGGACTTCGGGCCCTCGCACACACCCTTCGATCCGCTGCTGTCCAGACTCCAGGGACCCGTTAGTGCCGTGGGCACTGCGTGGGTGCAAGGACAGCAGTTTCCAGTCGAGGTCCAGATGGCCTCGCCACAGCAAGGGCAGCAAGGCCGTTCTCACAGGGCTCGGCCCCCGGCCTGATCCTCAGCACTCCTCCCCCCCAGCTCTGGGCACCCTCTGCGAACCAGACTGCCTTTCAGGTCGGCGAGCTGTCAGACGTCCTAGTGAGGACCCCACTGGGAGCCACAGCAAGGTCAGCAAGGCCGTTCTCACAGGGCTCGGCCCCCGGCCTGATCCTCAGCACTCCTCCCCCCCAGCTCTGAGCACCCTCTGTGAACCAGACTGCCTTTCAGGTTGGCGAGCTGTCAGACGTCCTAGCGAGGACCCCACTGGGAGCCAGGTGAGCAAGGCCGTCCTCACAGGGCTCGGCCCCCAGCCTGATCCTCAGCACTCCTCCCCCCCAGCTCTGGGCACCCTCTGTGAACCAGACTCCTTTCAGGTCGGCGAGCTGTCAGACGTCCTAGCGAGGACCCCACTGGGAGCCAGAGGGCAGTGGCCGGGCTCACACAGCTGCCCCTCCACTTGGCAGTCACGAAGGGCCTCCAAGCTCATGGAGGGGTGAACCGGGAGGTCAGGGCACTGACACCAACAGACAGGGGAGGGCTCCTCTGCCCACTCCCAGCAGGGGCCAGGGGCGGGGCTAGTTTAGAGCCGGCCCACCTCACCCCTGGAGTCCGCACCTCGGGCTCTCCGCAGCTCTTGGCCAGCGTGGCCAAGGTCGAGGGCAGCCACCTGAGATGGAGAGTTAGGGAGCAGGGGGCGCCTGCCTGGGAAGAGCTAGGCCTCCCAGTCCCCCGGTAAGACCCACACACAGGTCACCTGTGGTCCACCACTACGAAGAAAAAAGGTCACACTTCCGAGAAGAGCCTGGCTGCACTATGTCCTGGGAAGGATTTGGAGGATGAGGGGACCAAAAGTTTTGCCTTTTGAGATACTGAATTTTAAGCTGATGATTAAGAAACAGGACTCAGAACTCTGACCCTCCGTCCTCTCCCAACTAAGAGATGCAGAGTAAACCTACTCCAAGAAGCAATCGGATGCCCACCTTAGCAGCCTTATTTGAACTGAGCGTGGTAGGTGGAGGCTACCGCCTGACTGGGGAAGGGAGAGCGGATGAGGGCAGAGGACACGGTGCGGATCGAAGGGCGAGACTGAAGTGGCTGCGAGAACGGAGCAGCCAGTGACACCCGGCAGTGGGGTGAGGAGCCAAGTCTCACTCTGTGCCAGGCCCTGCTCCGGTGCGGCACGGGGACTGTCCTCACAGCAATCTGGGAATTCGGGGCTGTGAGCACCCCATTTTGCAGGTAAGAGAAAAGCAGGGGCAAGAGGGTTCATATAATTCTGACCCAGACCCTGGTCTGGGAGCCCACACTCCAGACCACCTGGGGAAGAGCGGGAGGGGCCTAAATCCACAGGGAGTCTCAGCCAGGACCCGGATGAGAAACGGAGACCAAGGAACAGGATCCACACAAATCCTAGGGGGGTGACACCCTCTGAAAGCAAGGCTGGGAGACGGCCACGCGATGAGGACGGGCCTGTGAGTGGGGACTGACGGCTCCGGGTGGCAGTAAGTGACACTGCAGCTCCCTCCGGGCCCTCCTCCCAGGACATCTTGCTCCCTTCGTGCTCCTGCTTCTCTGCTCACCCGCCCGCTGGCCCGTCTGGCCGCCCTTTACCTGCCTGCACCTCAGGTGTCTCAGCTCTGCAGTATCCCATCCTGTGCCCCAGAACTGCCACCTGTGTGCACACAATGGCGGCTGCCATTCTGGCGCCTGCTCTGTGCTGGAAACAGCGGCAGGCACGTGATACATGGCACCTCTCTCCATTCCCGCCGGGACTGTGGTCGCATTTCCCAGGCAAGCTACTGGGCTTCTGAAGGGAAGGACAGTGTCCCACTGCTCTGAGACGGCAGAGTGAGAGCCCAGACCTGGCTGACGCCGAAGCCTCCACTCAGTGACTCACCGACTGGCATTTCAGACGGAGGCTCTCGCGCTCGGAATGCAGACATCCCCCTGCGTTTTCCGGGGCGTTTTTACTAGAAGTTACAAGTACCAAATGTGAGGAGCCAAGCAGAGACCCGACCCTGAGACCTGGCTTAGAATTCTCATCTCCGAAGGGCTGTTGTAAGATTTTTCGAGGTGATGCGCGTAAAATGCTTTGAACAGTTCCTGGCACCTTGCGAAGACTCAGGAAGTCCCAAACTGAACTCCCTGTCTCCCACATAAACCCTCTTGAAACCTGGCTAACAATCCTACTGTCTGTCCACTCGTTGCCCAGGCTGGACCTGGTCCATGCCAGGCTCTTCCCTTACCTCCACCTCTACCAGTTCCTAAATCCTACCTCTCCAGTTGCTCCAAAGCCCCCTCTGCTCGGCCTCGGTTCAGACCACGCTGGCTTTCAGAGTCCTCCTCTTCCACTCTCCGCACCCCCACGGACTCCTGAACCCTGGTCACCTTCCACACGTGATCACACCGTTCAGGGGACCCTCATGGGCTATGGCAATCGTTCTCAAATCTGATGACCAGTAGAAACAGAGATATTTTAAAGTCCAGATTTCTCAGCTCCACTCCCTGGACACTTTGATTCAGCAGATATAAACAAGGTTTTGTATCTTAAAAAATCCCACCAAGCAACCCTGCCAGTCAGCAAGGTGGGGGACCGCCTGGACAAAGTGCCCCTCCTGGCCTTTGGTTGTCTCCTGCTGACCCTCAAGCTCCCCAGTCCTCTGAGCCTCCGTATTTACTCTTCCCTCCACCTGGAATGCCCTATCTGCCTTGTCCACCTGGTAAACTTCTATTTGTACCTTAAGACCCAGCTGGAGGCCCTGGCCAGTCTGGCCCAGTGGTGAGAGCGTCCTCTGTGAAGCCCCCACTGTCTGAGCTGGTCACGCCCGCTCTGCGCCACCACTGCACCTCGTATTCAAACCCCCAAGGTACTGATCTCATTACATGGCAGCTGTCAGACTAGAGAAAACGAGGCATTGCAGTGCTCACTGTGGTGACCCCCCGCCCCCGAGCCTGGCACAGGGCCTGGTGCATAGTAGATGCTCAATAATGATGAGTGTTGCCAGTTAAGCTGAGTGCTTATAAACTTGCTAGAAACAGCCAAGAAAGAATACACTGGTGCTCATGTCAAAGCTGGTAGAGCAGAATTTTGTTGTAATATTTCCCAAAAGGATCTTATCAGTGATGTATAAGAAGGTACAAAGGTGACTCACACTGACTACATTAAGGGCTCGGATCCCATAGAGGTACAACCAGTACACAGAATGTATATTCCAGGAGATTCCGCTGGGATCCCGACAGCAGAAGCTATCTAGGAAGATGGACACACATCTCCTTCCCACTTAGAAGACAAGAGTAAGTGCTGGGACTTTAAAAAATCCAGCCAGCTTGAGCCAGAGGAACCTTGTGCAAATAGGGCACAGGGGAACCACCGCTAACAGCCACGCTGGGGACGAGGGCTGTGGGCACACAGGGCCTCCGCCCAGCCTGCCAACGTCCCCCTCCTTCCTCCTCCTGAGCACGCTCACCCCACACTGCCCCTACACGCAGGACGCCCACCCTTCTTTTGGTTTGGGAGAAATGGCTGTGAGTTTCCCACATTAGAACACCCTCCAGCACTGTGACCCGAATCCCGGGGAGAGTGAGTGATAGAGACGGAGACGGTGAGAGCCAGTGAGGAGCACGAAGCCAACTCCTCTGCCATGCTTAACCCCGAGTGCTCACCCGGGGCCAGTCCCAGGCAGGAGCGCTGGTTGGTGTCGGGTCTGTGCCGAGGAGAAATCAGGATCTCTTAGCAAAACGGCCTTGTATCCGGCCCAGTCCCTGAAGACACTGAGAGACGCAGCCAAGCCCCAACACAGCCCCTGGGAGAAAAGGCCTGACCTCAGCCCCGGGGGACAGGGTCCTGCTCTCCATGGAATGAATGCATGGGGGTGTTCTCCCTGAGATTCAGCTCCTGGAGGCTGGGTCACTGCGGCCAGAACCAGGGATGAAAGTCTGGCCGGGGAGCCTCACAGGCGTCCGTGCAGACATGTGCGAGGGCGCGGCCCCTCCGAGACTGTCAGGCTGCTGCAGAGCAGGTGCCGGCTCTCCAACGACTAGTTGCTCTGAGACCCCCGGAGCCTCAAGGGCATGCCCAAGGCCACCTCTGCAGGACTTTTTATGCCACCTTCCTGCCGAGTTTTCTCCACAGCACTCATGACTTCACGTCTCGTGTGCTGCCGGCTTCCCGCACAAGGAGGGAAGCCGAGAGGCAGGCGCTCCACTCTCGGCCATCGCCCCACCGCCTGTGTGTGGAGCAGGGCCAGCTCCGGGTACGAGGCTTGAGAGAGATACACAGCACTCCATACTGACCCTCTGGGCCAGTCCACGTCACCTGGATGCTGAGGCTCTGGGACTCCAGGTGGGGCAAGGTGATGCTCTTGTAATCGCCTCCTGTCTCTCGAACCAGGCGGAGGTCCTGGCGCAGGTACTTCTGCAGGTGTTTCTCTGTGGCTGGGTAAACCACGGTTGTCTTTACATCTGCAACGACACATGACCCGGGACTATAGAGTGAGGCCCACTCTCTGTACAGTCCTGTCACACTCTGGGCCCCCCCACGGAAAGAGGACGACCTCTGCCCTGCCTCTGATTCCCTGGCAAAGGCAGCCAAAGGCTGAGGTTCTAGTCACCCATGATCCACTCCCACGAGGTGCCTTGTGCCACTGAATTCTAATGCTGCTCAGAATCTGGAAAACAAGTCTCCCTACCCCTCGTCCTTCCCCCTCTATTTTATAGGCACAGAAGCGAAAGGTTTCAGACTGTTTACCAACCAGATTTATATGAATGTGGGTTTTCAAAGCTGAAAATCTGGTTCAGAGCAAAGTAGTCCTCTGAACACCAAGCAGTAGAGGATAGCACAGTGGTCAGAGGCACGGGCCCTGGCGCCTGACTGGATTCAAGTCCTGTCTCCTCTGCTCCTTCTTTGGGACCCGGACACTGATCCAGTTACTTAACCTTTCCCATTGCCCCTACTTCCCATCTGTCACCAGAGCATTACAGTTCCTATGTCAGGGAGGATTAAGCAAGTTAATACCTATGAAGCACATAGCAAACATTTGTTCTGTAAATGCTGGCTATTTTGTTGTTGTTAATCCTCACCGAGGATATTTTCCCACTGATTTTTAGAGAGTGGAAGGGGGTGGAGGAGAGAGGGAGACAGAAAGAAACATCAATGTGAGAGAGACACATCATTCAGCCTGGGTTCAAATCCTGACTCTGCACTTAGTAGCTGTGTAACCTTGGGCTGTTGTGAGAAGTCAATAAGCAGGAGATGGGAAACATGTAAAAAGTGCCCTTTCCCCCCAATACAAAGTGCTCCTCCGACACCAGCTCTCATTCTCGGGCTCACGGTTATTCCAATTCCCTGGGCTGGGCCATGGGGAGGAAAACCATGGGCCACGGCGCTCCCTCAGCATGGGGGAGACGGGCAGGGGACAAAGGCAGAACTAAGGCTGGAGAGCAGCCTAGCCCTCCTGGCAATGCACACACAGCCCTGTGCTCAGTCTGGGGCTCCCTGGCTGGCCTCCAAGCATGCCCTGTCTGCCAAGGCTTGTCAAAGACTGCCCGGCCACCCAGGGTGCTGGGGAAACAGGCACCTCACCAGGCCAGCCCCCTCCTGCCTTCCCCTCAATGGTAGGGAAAAATACAGACATTTTCAACTGCTCACCTCCTGCCGTCTGTCCTTCCTTTCCTGGATGCAGCAACACCTGCCTGGGTGCAGAAACCCCACAGCTGTACTCAGGGCCCTCAGAGCCAGTCAGTGCTGGGGGCCAGCCTCTGGGGGCCACTACCACAAGTCCAGACTCTCACGTGCTGGCGTCAGGGGTGGGGCTGGCTGAGTTCCAAATCCTCCTGAAGGGCTGACCCCTCACACCTGGACTGTCTACTGGCTCCCTATCGTGGTCAACATGGCCCTCCATCACCATGCCCAGACCTCTCCCCAAACTCAGGTACTACCGTTCTCCTCCTTGATATCTCTGCTGCAGCCAAACCTATCTCCTTACGTTTTCACTAAATCACATCAAACATGTGTCCATGTCTAGGACTTGTACCAGCTGTTTCCACTGCTGGGCAGGCCTCCCTCCTAAGCCACGGCTGCTCCCTTGCATCATGCTGGTCTCTGCCCAAAGGGCGGCTCCTCGGAGCTCTTGGACAGCCTGGCTAAAGAAGCACCCTCACCTCAGCCTGCCTCGCTCGTGCATCACTGCCTGACAAGAGCGTACAGACTGACTGATTCCCCATCATAATGTATCTTCCAGGACAAAAATTTCACTCTGTCGAACTTTAAAACGTTTTTACCATTTTATCCCCAACACCCAGGATGGTGCTGGCCTACAGTAGGCCTGCAACAAATACTAAACAAATGAACAAATGAACCCATGAAGAGCCCAGGAAAAGCATTTTTGTCCCAAATGGAATAAAACCTCTCTGATAATAATCAATGTAAGTGTCCCAATGGCAGCCAAAAGCGAACTCTGGTGTCTACCTAAATGCCAATCGGGGGTGACCTGCAACTGAATTTCCCAAGGAGTTTGGTCAAGAGTCAGTGCCAGATAAATGTCAACACTGAGAGCAGGATATCCATGACAGCTTCAAAATATCTCCCCAGAGATGACTTACTAATTAACTGCAAAGGGAAAGCACTGAGTGGTCCGAGTTAACGTCACTCCTAACGGGAAAGCGGACCCCATGTTGCCTCAGGAGAGATGTATCTGGTGTTCTGGCCAAAAATGCACAACCTGGATCCAGTCGTGAGGAAATATCAGCAAACCCAAACCCAGGGACATTCCACAAACAAGCAGCTTTACAGCTCTGCAGAGTGTCCAAGGTGGGGAAGGCAGAGAAAGGCTGAGGGAGCGTTCCAGATGGAAGGACATCAGAGTCCGGGCTGGATCTTGGATGGGCGGAGGGGCTCTGCTTCTAAGACGGCACCGAAACAATTGGTAACATTTAATAATGGTCCCTATGTTACATAGTATTCTGTATAGATATAAAGTGTCCTAAAATGGGTCATTTGACTCTGGTTCCTAGGAGACACACACTGAAATGCTTAGCAATGAAAGGTTATGTTGTCTGCAATTTACTTTTCAATACATAATAACAGTAATAAAATTATTATTGTATGAATACATGGAGCGGAAAAAAAAGCAGATGTAAAATGTTAACCAAAGGTGAAGGGAGCATGGCGCAGGCATAAAAACAGACACAAAAACAGACACATAGATCAATGAAACAGAACAGAGAGCCCAGAAATAAACCCACGCCTCGAGGGTCAATTAATATTTGACAAAGGAGGCAAGAACACACAATGGGATAAAGACAACCTATTTCAATAAATAGTGTTGGGAAAATTGGACGATACATGCAAAAATATGAAACTAGACCACTCTCTTACATCATACACAAGAATAAACTCAAAATGGATTAAACACTTAAATGTAATACTCGAAACCATAAAACTTCTTGAAGAACACATAGGCAGTAAAATCTAGGACATTCCTCTTCGAAATTTTTTTTTCTGATATATGTCCCCGGGCAAGGAAAACAAAATAAAAAATAAAAAAATGGGACTACATCAAACTAAAATGTTTTTGCACAGCAAAGGAAACCATCAACAAAATGAAAAAACAACCCACTGTATGGGAGAACATATTCACCAATAATACATATGATAAGGAGTTAATATCCAAAATGTATAAAGAATTCATACAACTCAACACCAAAAAAAACAAATAACCCAATTTAAAAATGGGTAGCCCTGGCCAGTGTGTTCAGTGGTTAGAGCACAGCCCGCACACGAAAGGGTCTGGGGTTTGATTTCCAGTCAAGGGCATGTACCTGGGTTGCAGGTTCGATCCCTGGCCCTGGTCAGGGCTCGTGCGGGAGACAACCAATCGATGTGTCTTTCTCACATCCATGTTCCTCTCTATCACTCTCTCCCACCACTCCTTCCCTACCAAAATCAATGGAAAAAATATCCTCACGTGAGGATTAACAACAACAACAAATGGGTAAAGGACCTGAAGAGACACTTCTCTGAATAGGATATACAGATGGCCAACGGACATATGAAAAGATGTTCAGCATCACTAATCATCAGAGAAATGCAAATGAAAACTATGAGATATCAACTCATAGCTGTCAGAATGGCTATCATCAATATATCAACAAAAAAGTGTTGGTGGGGATGTGGCGAAAAGGGAACCCTTGTGCACTGCTGGTGGGAATGCAGACTGATGCAGCCACTGTGAAAAACAGTATGAAGTGTCCTCAAAAAATTAAAAGTGGCCTAGCCGGTGTGGCTCAGTGGATTGAGCATGTCCCATGGCCTGAAAAGTTCCGGTTCGATTCCCGGTCAGGACACATACCCAGGTTGTGGGCTCAATCCCCAGTGGGGGGCATGCAGGGGGTAGCCAATCAATGTTGTCTCTCATCGATGTTTCTGTCTTTCTTTCCCTCTCCCTTCCTGTCTAAAAATCAATAAAGAAAAAAATATTTTTTTAAATTAAAAATGGAACTGTCTTATGACCCAGCAATTCCACTTCTGGATATATAGCCAAAGAAACCCAAAACACGAATCTGAAAGAATAGATGCACCTGTATGTTCACTACAGCATTGTTTACAATGGCCACGATACAGAAGCAACCCAAGTACCCATCAATAGATGAGTGGATGAAAATGTTGTGGTGTAGTCTTGGCCAATGTGGTTCAGTTGGTTGGAGCATCTTCCCAAAAGGTCTTCGGTTCAATTCTGGTCAGGGCACATGCCCAGGTTGTGGGTTTAATCCCCAACAGGGGTGTGTACAAGAGGCTACTAATTGATGTTTCTCTCTTACATCAATGTTTCTCTCTCCTCCTCTTCCTTCCTCTCTCTCTCAAATCAATTTTATTTATTTATTTATTTATTTATTTATTTTGGGTTAATCCTCACCCAAGGATATTTTTCCACTGATTTTTAGACAGATATTTATTTACTTTTTTGAATATATTTTTAACTGATTTCTTTTAGAGAAAAAGAGATAAAAACATCAATGTGAGAGAGAAACATGGATCGGCTGCTTCCTGCACACCCCTCCTGGGAATCGAGCCTGAAACCCGGGCACGTGCCCTGACTAGGAATAGAACCTGGATTTTGCAGTCCATGGGATGATGCTCAATCCACTGAGCCACACTGGCCTGGCTCTCAGATCAATTAAAAAACATACCCTCAAGTGAAAATTTAAAAAACAACAACAAAAAGAAGGTATGGTGCATACAATGAAATATTACTCAGCCATAAAAAACTGAAATCTTACTTTTTGTGACAGCATAGATGGACCTAGAAGGTATTATGCTAAGTGAAAGAAGTCAGCCAGAGAAAGACAAATATCATATGATTTTGCTTATATGTAGAATCTAAAGAACAATGTAAACAAACAAAACAGAAACAGACTCATAGATACAGAAAATAAACTATTGCCAGGTGGGAGGGGTGTTGGGG